GGGGGCACTTCATCCTCCACACTCTGAATTTGTTGGGTTTTCTTATCTCCCCTGACACCACTTCTTTTTACCCGGTAGGGAGAGAAAACATTTAGAAATCGGTCCATTCCTGGATGAATTTCTTCCCTTCCCAGAAAGTGGGGGAAGAAAAAAAAAACAATCGTCTCCTGTAATTGGACAGTTTGATTGGAGGCAGGTGGTGCTGAGCTACGGCGAGCAGAACCACAAAGCCAGTTTTGGCTTCTAGCGCTCATCCCAGCTCTGAGTTTCAGCAGCACAACATGGAAACTGGCTCCCCAAACGCCAACAATAAATTTAGTCCCTGTTTCTCTAACAAGCACTTTATCAGTGAGGACGATTTTCGGCAAACTGGACAGCGCACAGACACAGAGCTGGCCGGGGATGCCCTACCCCCACCCCTAGCCTTAATTTCTCAGGGCTTATTCTTCCTGCCACAAAACTGGATGCAGTCGCTCACTATCATCTGAAAACGTGGTGATATTCTTCTTTTTCCGGGTAAACTGGCCTCTGTGCTGCTCATGTTGCATTATCCTGAGCTAATATTTGCTTGCAATATTTTTGAGTAACAAGCCAAGCCTGCGTGGCATTGCAGATTACAAACGTCAGTCCTGAGAAGGAGCCAGAATGAGCAGCCAAGGGAGTAAGTAGAAGCTGCAGCCTACTTTTCTACTGCCTTCAGGCAAAGTCCTTGAGATCTTGACTTCTTTTCTCAAGGGCCAGCTCGTTCATCTTAGCCATGCCCTACAGATCAGCCAACAACAGTATTCACCTTTTGTGCAAATAAAATGGTGGAGGGCCTGAGCCCCAGAGGTTAATTGCTTTGACCAACATCACACAGTAAGCCAGCAGAGAAGACACAGAGGCAGGCACTAACTCCCCAGACCCTGACTCAAACTGTGTGTCTGTTAGCTTCCTCTCTCTAGAGCAAATGTATCATTTGAAAATGCCATTTATAAAGATCTTAGAAGTAAAGGAGAATGGGCCTGTAGTTCAGTTTGTAGGATGCTTGCCCAACGTACATGAGGCCTGGGCCTTGAGACCCAGCACCGCAGAAAACAGGCACACGGCCACAGCTAGCCCCAGCACTCAGGTGGAGGCAGGGGAGTCACAGTCTGAGGTAATCCTCAGCCTCAGCTGCATAGTGAGTTGGAGGACTGTGTGGGAAGACAGAATGAAGAGCTCAATTGAACTGTTGACCTTCGTACACTGTGTCAACTCAGTCACTTCATGTATCTCTCCAAAGACACGTACAACTTTCCAGACCCCCTTCCAGGAAGGAACTGAAGCCCAGATAAGGATGGGTCAATGGCAGAGGGACCACACCCTGGTGGGACTGCTTAACTCTCCCCTTACCGTCTATTTGAGCTTTGTCCTCATCTAAGGACCTCCAAGATGAACTTGGGGAAGCATCAGTCACTGGTCTCTTTGTCCCTCTTCCCAAATGGCCAAACAAATAAATCTCCTTTTTCTACTACTGCTGCTGCTACTACTACTAATAATAATAATAGTAATAATAATAATGATAAATATCAGTTACTTCCGGGTTTGGCATGTTTTCTTATTCGTTTCTGTCCATGCTTGGACTCTTCTGGATTAGTTTTGAGCTTTCAGTTCATTTGCAGAACTTGACAATAACCTTCTCTGACCTCAAATGGATTCAGGTAGAGACAATCCCCTCAGCTGCATCTTCTAACAGTTGGATATCTGTATCAAATTATTCTGTGAAAACAAGTTGGAGAGTTTGCTCAGAGCCTCTGGATTGCTACACTCTTGGTTTGCCCTTCGGGAGCCTGAGGCTCACAAACTTGACCTTGCTCATGGGAGTCTCAGAGCCTAAGGTTCTGGAGAAGACACTGGGTTCCCTGAGTGGCCAGGGCACTTCTCCAAATCTTACTGGCAGACAATCTTCCCTGAAAGCTAGCTAGCTGTTGCAAGGCGCCAAGGGTGAGGTTCCCTCAGCCCCTTAGACGAAGAACTCTTCTGTCCTATGAACAGCTTCATGTGGCTTGCTACCCGTGACTGATGGTGACAGGCAAGCAAGGAGAGAAGAGGGGACTAGCCGCACTAGGGACATTGTCTCAGAAGGACTGCTCACTGATTAAACCTGTCTGGAGGCAGACTGCATTTGTACAAGGAGTGCTGGCTGGGAGATAACTCAGAAATCCTGGCAATACTACAGAAACAATATTTTTGCAGAGGTGACACCACCTCAAACAATGTCCCCAGTGTGCAGGCTACAAGCGGCCCTCTATTCACAGCCAGGAAGGGTGACTGTCCTTTCCACCTGTTCTAAGCAAAGAGGCTCAGGGGAGGGGGCCGGGAAATGGGGTAGGGAGTGGGCACGTTAGGGACACAGCAATGGGAAAGCCATTTCAGGGCTCTCCTTGTATAAGAAAGCCACCCCTGTCAACCTGCACCAAAGCTGGCTTCCCAAGGTAGAGACAGACCGAAGCGATGGCATCTCAAAGGGCAGACAGATAATCTGCTGTGTGTGTTTCTCCAAGTCTGTGTGGGAGCGGCGTAGTACACAGCACGCTGCAGTTCCTCGTCCTGTGTCCCACAGCCCTAGCACCTCACAGACAGGTGTGAGGGCACTGCACTGTGTGACACAGCCTCCTCCCTCTTTGGCCTGGGCGCTTTCTCTGGAGAATTGCCACCTGTCCCTGACCATTACAGCAACCTCCTTCTTCCTAGAATTATCTATCATTCCTTCCCAAAGCTGTATCATTTCCCAGAAGAAGAAGAAAAAAAAGATCCCCAGGACCTGCCAACCCAATCCACAGTGTTGTCTAAGCTGGGTGGCCCAGCTGGGGTGACACAGAAGTGTCCCACAGTCTCCTGATGTGCAAACCCCAGGTGGGTAGAGAACCGGAAAGTGGCCCAGGCTGTATCATGGGGGCCTCTGCTGACGCTGAAGGCCAGGAGACATGGTCGGGGGACAGTGGCACCTGTTCATCTATCCACTGCATTTGTTTGCTGAGCCAGCATAAGCGAAGGCCATGAACCGGGGTGACTTGCACAACAGACATAAACTCTCTGATGGTTCCGGAGGCCAGAGCCCATAATCAAGGTGTGCTGTGAGTTCCCTCTAGGGACACCTTGGGACCCTCATTCACCTTATCATAAGGTTAGCCTGACTTCTTCTTCTTCGACACGGAACCACGAGCCACATTTTGACAAATTGTATGATGTCCCTTCTCTTTCCACATAGATAACATGTATTCTGGAATATTTGTTATTATTTCAGAAGACTCCAGGTCTTCCTTTACCAGCAGTGTGACAAGTTGGTTAAAATCCTGACACAGTTCTCCTGCCCCTAACCATCATTCACAGCCAGGGCCTGTCACATGGTTAGCACCCAGTGTCCTGTAGCTACTGATAGTCTCCATGCACACACATTTTTACAAAGCATCAGACGTAGGTCTTAAAGCTCAGGAGAAGCTAAAACCAGCTGTGTCCCCACGGCAGACAGTGGGGACTCCAACCATGCACTCCTTTTCATTATTCCTGGTGGCGGAATCCTCGCATCAGACCACACACTAACTTGGGAAAGCAATGTCCCTGTCACGTGTCAGGGAAAAAGGACGCATTTGAGCAACAAGGCAGAAATGCCTTCTAGAAATTACAACATGCTGACTTCCTCAGCACAGCCACAAGAAGCCTGGATGTCCTTGAGGTCTGGGAGCTGGGAGAGAGGTTACCCTGAGCCTTGGTGATCCTGACAGCTTCAGCCTCAAGGAGCACAGCCTGGTGCTGCAGGACCTGCCCTTGGGCGAGGCAGCATCCTGCTTCCCTGAGGCATCCTCTCCTCCCCTTGCCTGAGAGCCTACCTGCCTCCACACAGTAGCCTCAGGAGCCAGATCCTGCCTCCTCCACAGTCAGTCCTGTGTGAAGGCCCTGACTCAGAAGGGCAGCCATACTCTTGTCTCTCACCTCAGGTCCCCGTTAGGACATCGGAATGTCTCCTCTCACCCTTCAGCAACCTCCACCCATCACACAACTGCACTGCTGCGGTACCATCTTCATTTAGTGTGGCCTTAGGTGTGCATACCCTAAGACCTGAGAGCACACAGAATACAGATTCTCAGCGAGAAACAGAAGCTGGGGAAACTAACCAAACTGTCAAGGCAGGGAAGGGAAGGAGGGAAGGGAGTGGACAAGAACAAAAGCTTCCTGGGGGTATAGCAGCCCTAACCACTGGGCTCTCGATGCCTCACCACCCACACCTAGCCCAGCCCTTAGGATTCTTTGTTTTCCTCTGTGGTGACCGGTCAGGATGGTTTGGACTTCAGTATGTCTAACCAGAGACTTGCTTGAGGGGTCAAGCTGGCCTCAGCTGCTCAAGTGCCGGCAGGACAGGCATGCACACCCATGCGCAGTTCCTGAGTTCTCTTTGGCTCTCTCGTTTGGCAGCGTGTGGGAAGCCTTGCAGGCAGGCTGGAGCACAGACTTGGAATGGAGTCCTTGGAACCACAGCTCTAGAGAGGCAGAGGCTCTAGGGTGGAGGAGATGGGTAGACCAGCCTGTGCAAGCGAGACTGGGGCTACATGTCTGAGTCCCAGGTCTACCGATGTCTGTGGGTGCTGTGTACTTGTGCTCCTGAGAGTTACACATCCATCCCAGGTATCACACACCTGTGTTCTAGGTATGTACACCTGTGTCCCTGGGAGACACGTTCCCAAATCTCACACACCTGTCCCGGATACTGCACACCTGTGTCCCTGAGTGCTGCACACCTGCATTCCTGAGTCCCACCCATCTGTACCACATATCACACATATGTGTCCCTGGGTTCCTGTAGTACTGGGGGCTTGGTGTTTGCCTGACAGCCATTCCCTTGATAAGTGAATACATATACATTCTCCTTGAAACCCATTACAAACCCCACTCATTCGATTCTTACCGTAATTCTGTGCGACATAGCCATCATACCCATTTTCATCTGAGGAAAGAGGGACCGTGGAAGTTATGTCACTTACCGATCACCTGGAAGGAGGAGGCAAAGCCAGTACCAGGCCAGGCCTTAGTTCCAGACCACATGTTCTGATGTGGGATAATGCTCTTGTTCACTGTAAAGATTTGTCACTCGTATTGGCAGGGCAACCAGATGAGGAGGATTCTGGGAAGAGGAAAGACAGAGACACAGTCATCAGCCAGACACAGAGAAAGCAAGACGAAAATGCCTTACTGAGAAAAGGTACCAAGCCACATGGCTAAACACAGATGAAAATTATGGGTTAATTTAAGATGTAAGAAGCCTGAGCCATCAGACAAACAATTTATAATTAATATAATCCTCTGTGTGTTTATTTGGGACTGAACGGCTGCAGGACAGGGTGGGACAGAAACTTCCATCTATAATGCCCTGCCTGCCTGAGCGCCACTTACTCTCCTAGTGGAAGAAGTCGCCACATGTCTGGAAGAAATGTTTGTAGCCATCCTTCACGGAAGCATTTGAAGTGACTATATCCCACCCTTTGACCCACTAAGTACCTTCTGGGAAGCCACCCAAGGGAAACATCCCAGAATATGAGAAAAACCATTATGTGCAAAGATGTCCATTGCTTTATTATTTATTGAGCACACGCTACATCCCCAAATCCTGGGAGACATATAAATCTCCACACACAGGCAGACAGTGCGGCACATAAGAATATTAAGCTATGTGTTCACTCAAGGGACGCTAGACAAAGAGGGTGAGAACATGGAGCTGGGTGTCAGAGCTCTACACGAGGACAGGGGACACAACGCCTGGGTGTTCTGTCTCCTTCTTACCAGTCCCCCTAGAGTGCAGCTGCATGGGAACCATACAGGGTTATCAGGAAGAAAGCAGAAAATGAGAACAACCGAGGTTTTGTCTGCTGAACCCACAATCAATGGCTAATTACAACACTCGAGAAGGCTGATGGGTAGGGGAAACAGAACAAGAAGGAACGCATTAGTGAGTACCAGAAGCCAGTTTCTGGAGAACTTAGAGGTAACTGTTTTTCTCCTGGTGCCTTGCCTTTTGCATTTTGAGTTTTTCAGTGGTGAGCATCGCAGGGTTGGGTTGGTTTAGTTTGTTAGTAAAACATAGACTTCAGTTTTTGGAGACGGTTTTCCTCTATGGCTTCCCTTCAGTTCCATGCATGCAGGGTTCTGGGGGATATTTGATGACAGACTGTGGGAGTCTCTTGAAGTCTCTATCATACAGCCCAGGGCCTGAAGGCCATAGAACCAAGTAAGTGTCCCTATAACAGAGACAGTGTGGCCATATAAAAGGACCCCTCTTAGTTCCAGGACAGATGTGATTGTGGACCCCAGCTCTACTCCTTTCTGGCTGTGTGACCCTGGGGCACACTAGTCCCTAAGTCCCATACACATGTCATAGACAGTATGGGAAGGTGACAAAACTTCACAACTGCTGTAAGTAACATAGGTTCAATAACTAGTGGCACGCAATGACCTTCAGCAATTGGGTATCCTGTAAGAGAACTCTGCATGCTTGACGGGTGATAGTATGCGGCTTAAGAGCTTATCGAGAGACATCATATGGACGGCAGCATCTCTCCAGAGACAGACCCAGAAGAGTGCTTCACTGACAAGACCTGGGGATGGGAGAGCCTGGCTGATGTTCTCAGCTCTGGGAACAAGCGCCACGCCAGACAAGGCTGATATTCCCGGGGGAGGGGGGGGGGGGGACGGGACACAGCCATGCTCCAGCCTTGCTTCCAGGTTGCTTACTTCACAGGGTGGCCAAAAAGAAAGCCAAGAGTAAACGATGCATGTGACAAGGACATTAACAGACGGCTGAGGTAAGTGCGTAACACACACACACACACACACACACACACACACACACAGTGACTGTTGCTGCCATGAATAGTGCCTCCGGGCAATGACAGAAAAGGCCCAAACTCACTGCTGCCGTAGCAAGGGAGGAGTCCATCAGAATCTGAAGAGAGTCTGGCCCTTGTATACCTCCCAAGTGAGACTGATCTCCTGGACAAATATCTAAAGGTGGGGGGTCTAGCCTGAGCTCCACCTGGGGGGAGAGGCCTTGTTCTTGTCTGGCCCCATGTCCCCGTCCTAGATCACCCTCATGACCCTGCCATCAAGTGTGGGGATGGGGACGACGCCCACTCCCACTCCATCTCGCCAGCTTCCCTCCTTGCCTTGTCACGAAGCTTCATGACCTTTTGTCCCGCCGTATTTACCTGCTCATCAGACAGAACCTGCCAGAATAAGGAGGCCCCGGGACAGAAAAGCCACCACCACCCTCAGAAGGCGTTTGAGAGGAGAGTGCAGCTGTGAGGACGAGAAGGACCAGGGTGTGTCTCCCCAGTGGACAAAAGTCAATTCCAAGATCCAGGATGGCCCCGCAGCCGACTGTGAGTTATGGGGAGTTCGCATGACCTCATCAGCCACCAGCAGGGGCTGTGCTCACCGGCGTTTCACATGGTGGAAGCCCCGTGATAGAATGATCACATTTCTGGTAGTCTGCTGGGACTGCCCTAAGGAAGACCTACACCAGAGGGTTTTGCAACTACAACTCCAAGTCCAAAAGCAAGCTTCCTCCTGGAGCCTCTCTGCCTGGCTGTCTCCCTTCTCTCATGGACTTACACTACCTTTCTGTGTGCCTCTATCCTAATCTCCTCATAGTAGGACGACAGTCAGACCCAATGAGGGACACCCCAGAGACTCATTTGGACAGCATTTCTTTAAGGCTTGTACATCTAAACACAGTCACGTTCTGGGGTTAAAACTCCAGGCTATGGTTTGAAGTAGAGGGCACAACTCAGGTCCCTTAGATGAACAAGGGAGATCAAAGGTCAGGGACCTTTCCTGGGATTTAGATAACTTGGTGTCAGAGGCAATGGTAGAGCACTGAGCTGCTGACCCACAGCCTCTGCCTGTCCTGTGATCCTGGAAACCACACACAGCTCTAGGCAACATGTGAGTGCAATCCACCCTGGGGAAAGTGAAGCTGGCTGCCGTGCAGGAGAGCACTGTGTTTAAAGATGAGAAGTTCATGGGCGTGACACGTGGCCATCTCTGTGGCTGCTGGCAGCTCATCCTACGCTCCAGAAGCCTGGATCTTCACATCTGTGAGGTAGAAGGGTTAATCTGAAACTCACGAAGGGTGTCTGTGTTGGGATGTACCATGGGGTGAGGTTGGGGTGGGGGGCCCCATCACGTAAAAGCAGGGACAAGGACACCAGATGAAAAGCACTTCCTACACACCCTGGAAGCTTATTATATCATGGTACGGCAACTTCCCCTCAGGTCCCCTTATCACTCTCCTGGAGATCAGAGAGGTGGCAGCCCACTCTTCTCTGAGGCAGTTTGGGGACGCTGAGATATGAGTAGGACCTCTGAGCATTAACCAATGACCGAGCATTGTAACTGTTCCAAGAGTGAACTCTTGCGTTGACAACAAAAGATCGTACAGCAACTTTAACCCAATGAGACTGCTCAGTTCAGTATGGGACGGGGCATCAAGCTGGCAGGAGTGAGTGTCCACCAGGTGCTTTTGTGAAGCTGGGGGAGAAGGTCTGTCCAAGCTGAGCCTGCAGTGCATGTCTCGGTGTCCCGTCTGTCCTTTTAGGCGGGATGCCCAGGCCAGGCCTGCTCAGCTTCAGCAAGATTCTCCTTCAGTGTGCACTTAGACTGTGTATCTTGGCCATAGCATCCTGAACACACCTCATATCCTCTGAGAGTGCATCATGATGATGAGCAAGTGTGTCTGCTGAGTCCCTTGTCTCAGCCAGTGCCTTGTCTCATTCAATACTCAGACAGGCAGAAGCGAAGCCAGCTGGTTTGATGTCCTTGCCCTGGGCCTTCTGAGTCTAAATCTGGGTGGCTTTCGACAGTGAACAGAACCTCTGACATTTCCCTTGTTTGACATACATGCACAGTGGCCTGAGCTCATGAGAGCTGCAATGGCATTCTAGAACAGGACAGTGAACTCGCCATTGGCATTGACCTTCGGGTGACCTGGTAACTGCTTGACTGACTAGTCTGCCCAGTTTACTTAGTTACAGACATTCTACGATGGTGCTCATTCCCTGATCCTACACTAAATAAAGGGATGGGGAGAAGGGTTGGATGAAGTTGCTGTGTTTTTAAATACATATAGAGATATGAAAGATATATCACAGTGTGATTTATGTGATAAATGGGGAGATAAAATAACATAAAATATTTGTACCTTGCTTGATATCCTATTTCTAAAAAAATATTGCAGGTCAGGTGTAGGGGTACACACTTTCAATCCCAGCACTGGGTAGGCAGAGTCAGGTGGATTTATGTGAGTTTGAGGCCAGACTGGTCAACATAGTGAGTTCCAGGACAGCCAAGGCTATGTAGAGAGACCCTGTCTCAAAACTCAAAGATTATTACATTGACTTATGTCTGTTGGAGAGAAAACTTCTTCAGATGGCACAATGAATAAAATGGGGCCAGGGGACAACTCTGTTCTCCTTACTGTATAGACAGAGTGACTGAACTCAGACTTACAGGTCTTCTTGGGGGGAACCCATTACTTCTTTTATCTGTGAGCAGCCAACATAAAATCTAACTGCCCCCCAAGTTTCCATCACCTTTCCCACTGAGGGTGAGGAAGTACCAGGCGTAAGATCTGTGCTCCGGGTGGCATGGGAGCTGGCTGCAGGCCTTCCTGGCTGGCATTCTGCAGTGTCATCCAGGCTAAGTGAGCCATAGTTCTCTCCTGGCCCTGAAACGTGCAAAGCACACAATGCTTATGTGGCCTTTTCCTCCTTTTGAAGTCCTTGATCACATGGATTCGAGCTCAGACAGGAGCCCTCCCTCACTTCACGCACATCCTCTCTGAATGTTAGGATCCTGGCGCCTCTTACACCCTGCCAGCCATGCCCCAACCTCCCAAAATTTAGCAGCTTGGCTCCATCGGGGTGTGCTCCAAAGTTCAGCGTTTGCATCTCAAAGACTAAATTCAGTAATAACACTACCACAATCTCATCAAAAAGCATTATAGTGATTATTGAGTTACATCAGGAGTTTGTTTAAGATAACATCTTATTTGTACAATGCAGCTCAAATAGCTGGTTAGTGCAACTGTGCAATTGTTAGGCTCCTTCCATGCATTAGCATAGC